TTTGGTTACATGTTAATTACTGATCCATCTGCTGTTAATAGAAAGGCGCATGGATAATTTGGTACTTTTAGTTTATTACATGAGTTACAAAAAGTTTTATTCATTTGGCAACAACTAACAGGTTCATGCATATGAAAGATCAAACCGAGTGTACAACTACTCTTTGGATCCATGCGGCCCTGTTTATATCACAGTTGGTGATGGTGGAAGTCAAGAAATGGTTGCAATTGAGCATGCTGATGAGCCTGGTAACTGTCCAGATCCTTCTGCTACAACTGATAACTACATTGGTGGCTTCTGTGCCTTCAATTTTACATCTGGTCCAGCTGCTGGTCAGTTTTGCTGGGCTGAACAGCCTGATTATAGTGCATACAGAGAAAGTAGCTTCGGATTCGGGATACTGGAAGTATGTACAACTCTCCATCTCTCACACATACACACATCTTTTCTTGCCTTGAATGAAACTGTCTGAAACTAAACTTGATGATGCTAAGCCTTGCTTTTTCAACTGCCAAAATGGTCAGCCACTAGCTGCCAAATTGTCATCTTCATATTTAAAGACAGAATTTTCTTTGAAAACTGAAACAGCCTGTTTCTGTTATTGTGGTTTCCAGGTGAAAAATGAGACGCATGCTCTGTGGACTTGGCATCGTAATCAAAACTCCTACCTTATTGCTGGCGATATTATTTACATAGTAAGGCAACCTGATGAATGCGGAGTCTAATCAGAGGTAAGTCTAATTGAACTTTGAGAAATTGTTAATGAAACAGTTAAATTTGAAGTTGGACCACGATGGCTTGAACATGAAGACTAACTTCTTTGATAGTATAAACTTACGAATGTACTAAAACCAAGTGCAAAGAAAAGGAAATTAGGTCTACTAAACATGCTTATGAAGTTGTTGCAAGTGAAAAGCTTGTGTTTGATATCCTAAATTCAGATAGAGATCTTTGTAAAATAGAGGTTAGGGTTGATGACAATTCATGGGAATTGCCTCCTTTCATGTCCAAATTTCCCTTTGCTTCTTCTTCCACCTTTGTTCATTATTGTTCATTTAAAGAATGTAAAACTAACGCTTAGTCCCTTGACCCTTGAAGGAAGAGAGTCTCTTATTTCCATTATAAAGAATATTATTCCCTAGGCTAACTGTTTTCTGAGTACAAGATTCAGGCATAGAGAGAAATCATAAGATGTTTCAATAGCACAAATGAGTTATAAACTCTATAAATACAATTTACTTCATCTTAATCACAATTATGGTCTTTTAACTCATTGTAACTCTTTAAGTATGTAATCATTCCTTTACTGGGTATCAAGCAATTTATCCAGTAAAATTAATGCAAACAGAAAAGAATTATATCACGAGGATCAATCTACATTCCTTAATGGAAATTACATATGGCAGCTTTTCTACCCCATAAGAACATCAAAACATGTCCAAACCTGCATGAAATAAATTGAACCATGAATTTCACCACTGATAACTAACATACGCATGGCGGCATCCTAAACAAGACAACAACCTAAACAACTTCCTCTAAGAGAAAAGGCTTAAACTTCCATGAAAACTGTTACAAGCCTCTTCATTCCCACACTAGAACAACACAGATCAAAATGTAAATGAGAGAAGAAAAATGAAAAGAGGCATTAGGCTTGTTTTGACCAAAAAGTTTGAAGAGGCTTGTGAATTGTCTGTTGTGGGTATTGGTGGAGCCATCATCCCTGGATTGAATCCATTACCAGCATTGCCATCAAGGGGTGTAACAGTGGTGGGCATTGTTGGGACATTAGGGTTGTTTGTGCTTGTTGGTGTTGAAGATGTGGTGGTGGGTAACCCACCTGCTGTGCTGAAAAATTACAGTGCAAATGCTTGTTACAACTTACAAATGAAAGAAAATATATGCGTGTATACATACCTTTGATTATTATAAATAAGTTAACATGATATTTGTGAAAACTGAACCCAGATGTTTAAATGTGCTTTTTCTTTTTTTAAGGAAAATGTACAGCAGAAAATTTATTTGATCTTGATGGGACCTGATCAGATAAGTGCATCTGAAAAACTATGCAACCTCAATCAGACAAAAATCCAAAACGGCATCGTTTCCGGACATCATAGCGGTTGTAAATGTACTAGCCGTTGAACCGTTTTGAAGTAGAGGGTAACTGTAAAAATTTACTAGTCCAGTTTTAACGCTGTGAAAAAATGATTGACGGAAACAACACGGCTAAGTCCAAACAAAGTTAGCAACCCAAGATGTTGAAAAGATCAAAGAGCCTGATCTGACAAGACAAAACTGAGAGTACTACCTGGGAAATGGACGGTAATGGATTTAAGAACATGGACACGTGGCAGAATCTAACGGTAGATATCAAAATGGGTAGTATGGTACAGTGTCCCACACCAATTCTTGTTCTATTTATTACACCTGACTATAAAAATACAAAAACTATTCCTCAAAAACGAAAAGAAAAAAAGAAATGAAAGTGAAGCACTGAAACTGGTCCAAATACGTGAAGATGAAGAAGATCAAATCTAAACGAACCCTTTACCTATTATCAATAAAATAAATAAATAAAACCCTTTACCCCTGTGATTAATCAATTAATCATTCAACGTTTTTGCATTATATTCACAATAAAATATGTCAAAAATTTTAATCAAGAAAACACAAGTATCCAATCCAAGAAACAAGAAAGAAGAGGAAGAGAAGAGTTTGATTTAACATACCTTAAAGAAGATGGATACACACAAGATCCATAACCTGCAAAACAGAATCCGCCAACTCAAGAACAAGAAAAAAGTAAGGAAGAAAAGCAAGGAGGAAAAAAAAAAGAAAGAGAAGAAGAGAAAAGAGAGCTAGTACTGGGATCAGTTTTGGCAATGTTAGCAGCTCCTGCGAAGTCACAGGAACCAGGAGCCATGGCCTTGCGCTGAAAGTAACTGTTGAAAGCATATGAAGCATGAGCTTGAATGGTGTTGGGCAAATAGCAGAGACCATCGGAGAGGATAGGAGTGCAGTCTGCTCCGGCGCTGCATGCGTAGTCAAGTGCTGTTTGCAGTGCCTGGTTGCTAGCATCGCTTCTTGCTACGCACCAGTTTGATGCTTCTGCTACGTTCAAAATAAAGAAGAAGAAGAAGAATGGCAGCTTTAATAATGGAGCTGCCATGGAGGAGGAGAGAGTTAATAGTGAGTTTTTATTTTTTGGGTTTGATTGGTAAAGGAGGAGAGAGGAGGATCGTCGGGAGTGGTGGCTTGGTTTCTTTTTCTTTTTGCTGCTTTTTTTCCTATTTAATTCTTTTGCTTTTCCATTTTTGTCTAATTCTTGAACGCTTTATATTTTGGATTTGTAAATCTATTTATATACATATATATGTGTGTTTTTGGATGGCAGGTTTTAAAGAAAAATTATGTGGGATTTAGTTGTACGTGGGAGCATCTATAAGCCCAATAGTTCTTTGCATGTTAATATCTTAAAATACATTGGCAAATTTTGTATTTGTGTAAAAATATAAATGCACTCTTAAATATATATTTCATCATTCAAAATTTATTAATTATCAATTAATTATAAATTATTTGTTGCTTGTTATTAGTTAGTTTATTAGTGGCTATATATACATCAAGATACAATATTTCAAATTAAAATTTAATATTTCACGAACGTATTTAAATTGATTGTTATTTTGTCCGAAATCAACTTCTGATAGGATAAATTGTACTTCTTTCTACTCGTATCCACTAATCAACTAATATATATTTTTACTCCGTCTCGAGAGAGAGAGTATTAGTTAGATTAATTATCAATTAGTTATTACAAATTAATTGTTGGTTATTAAATTAATTTATTTATTATTAATCAGGTTTCATTAGTAAGGTTGCTTGGCAATGATGTATATATAAAGATATATTATGTACAGATTAATTCAATTAATGAGAATTATGCCTTTTTCCCTCAGTAATAGTTAATTAATTATATATAATTTTATAAAATAGTCAAGAAATTTATTCTAATACTATAAACTAATAAATAAAGAATTCTTGCTTTTCAAAATAAATTAGGTAAATATTATTATATCTTATAATTAAATAGAAATAATGATTTAAATATCCAAATTATAATTATTATTGTTCTTCAAAATAAATCTCAATCGACTTAAATTATGCAGATTATACTTATAAAAATAGGGGGATAAAAATGCATATAAATTATAATTATAATTGGCAATTACTAGTTACATGTGGGTAGATGTATGTATTTTTCTAATTATTTTCCCAAAAAAGCAAAACAACTTCTGTGAAGCTAATTATAGTAAAATCTAATGACTCAAGAACAAAAATAATGAATTGCTCTACTTATTTTGTAGCAACATTTTAAAGTAGACAAATATGAACTCTAACATATTTTTATTAAAGTAGAAATAGTTGCTTATAAAAAGATTATAATGGCGTAGCTGGTTTCTTTATTGAGTGATTTTTATTCCAATTGCTTTACTTTGGGATATCAAAAGTTTTTCTGGGTGCTTCCAGGTCCACAGAATCACCCTTCATAGAGATTTCTCAAACCTCTGAATTTTGGTACTTTCCTTCTCTTGGAAGCCATGATTCAATTAACTTAGTTTAAGTTAGTAAAAGAAAGAGAGAGAGAGAGAGAGAGATTTGTATATTCAATCTAAGGATTTTCAAGCAAAGAAGTACGATAATTGGGAGGCACCATAGAAACATCCTGTAATTGGAACTTTTAACTTCATATACTAAGTTGAAAATAAATTCATCGTGTTCAGGTTCAGGTTCATGTTCATCCAGAAAAGGGGATTGAAAATCCTATCAAACAACTTGGATTGGCAAATTTTCTGATAGATACTTATCTGCCAAAGATGTATAAGTCATCATCTAATGAAATGAACACAGGGAAAAAATCAGTAATTTTAACTTTCTAAATATCACAGGCAATGGATTCCCAAAACTGAGAAACAGATTTTCTGATGATATAATCTAATGGGTATGTTACATCTCAGAATATCATATGTCAAAAAAGAATGGGTATCGAAACAATGGTAAAGATTGTTGTACACTCACCTCAGCTTCTTTTGTTTTTCCTTTTCTCTTTTTCCTCTGCCTCGTCTTTTTGGGGAGCTCACTTCACCCCCCAACTGTAATAAATATCAAATGTATGAAAAAAGAAAAAAAGAAAAAAAAAAAAATATATCCACCTCAAACTTTCTCGTAGAATAAGATGTATGCCTCACAGCGAAGAACTTCCTCGAGAGAAGCTTGACGCA